ATATATTTTTTTTTAGATTTTTTTATTGTTTGTTCAAAACATTACAAAGCTCATGACATATCTTTTTCCATACATTTGATTCAAGTGGGTTATGAACTCCCATTTTTTACCCCAAATACAAGTTGCAGAATCAGAAGGGAAACTGTATGGAAATGGAAGGAGACCCTCATTGTTACACAAAATTACATATAAGAGTTTGTGAGGGGAAAGGGGAAAAAAAAATAAGGGAGAGAATTAAACAACAGCAGATGGGGTAGAGAGGGAAGATGAGAGGGAAGAGGAGGGGGGATAGTAGGGGATAGGAAAGGTAGCAGAATACAACAGTCATTAATATGGTATTATGTAAAAATGTGGATGTGTAACCGACAAATGGATTTTATGTACCTACAGATGTAATTCCTTAGAGACAACATAAGCTCACTCGAATGAGCTATTGTCCTATCTCTTTCCCTGATATTTAGAATTGGATGAAATTCTTTTGTGTTCTTTTTTATTATTTTCTTGGGTGATGCATCTCTTCAAACTGGATAGTCACATTCTTTAATTTTGGTGATGAATAGAAACATATACACAATTATACCCAGTATTCAAAATTTTTTAAAAAATATATTTTTAGTTGTAGACACAATACCTTTATTTTATTTGTTTATTTTTATGTGGTGCCAGGGATGAACCCAGTGTCTTATGCAATCTATGCAAATGCTCTACCACTGAGCCACAATCCTGGCCCCCAGTATTCAAATTTTTAAATTTAATTATCATGTATTGATTCCGTAAGTCTCTTATTTTATATTTTTTAATCTCCTTTTTTTCTGCTTTCTGGGAGACTTTTCTCAGTTATGTATCTTCAAGTCCATTTATTAATTTGGGGTTTTGTTTGTTTGTTTTTAAAATGCTGGCAATTAAACCGAGGGCCTYGCACATTCTAGGTAAGCCTCTACCACTGAGCTATATACCTGAGCCCCAAATTTTTACTTCAATCATCAAAAGTTTAATTTCTAAGAATTATTTATTATTATCTGCTTTTTTTCATAAAAATACACCCAGACCACAGCAATAGTACATGCATATACAAGAATGTAGAGAAATGTATTATAAATAAAATAACAAAAGTTAAAATGACATTAGGCTTAATAACAAAGCYAGATTTGGTAAATAAAAATATTGGACATGTATTAGCTTTCTGTTGCTATGACAAAATAACTGAGAAAATCAACTTAAAGAAGGAACTATTTATTGGCTCACAGTTTCAGTGTTTTAAATTCCTGGTCACCTGGCTCCATTGTTTCTGAGCTTGTGATGAAGCAGAGAACATCATGGTGGGGAGTGTATGGTAAAGCAAAGTTGCTCACCCAATGGCAGCTGAGAAGCAAAGAAGCAGTCAGAGACAGGCCAGGAAAAAAATATACCCTTCAAGGACAAACCCCACTGACCTATTTCTTGTAACTAAGCCCTACCCTTAAAGTCTCCACTACCACCTTCCAATGCTCATTAAGATCTGATGCAGTCATCTCCCAAAAGGCCCCACTTCTGAACACAGGCACTGGGGACCAAGTCTTCCACATATGAGCTTGTAGGGGACATTTAAGATCCAAATTATTTGGATAAAAATTATATAAAAATATATAATTATAGTTGTCTTGAGTCATGCTATGCAAGAGATATAGATAATGTCCAAAACTTAATATTTTCATTGAAAAAAGGATGATCTTACTAAACGTATAGTATTTCTTTTTTAAAAAAGCCTACTTGATAATATATTGCCTACTAAAGGTAAAAATTACATAAAAAATTCAATTGAATTTGAATTTCAGATGCCTGAATAATTGTTTAGTATATGTATATCCCAAATTTATGGTATTTATAGTTCATCTGATTCAAATCACACCAGGTGTTCCATATTTATTCAGCAATTCTACAGTAGCGACGTTGAAAATAACTCTCCAGTAGGAATATGCAAGGAGGGCTGGGGTTGTGGCTCAACGGTAAAGCGTTCACCTAGCACATGCAAGGCTCCAGGTTCRATCCTCAGCACCATATATAAATAAATAAATAGATAGATAAAAGGTATTGTGTCCAACTACAACTAAAAAGTAAATATTAAAAAAAAATTTAAAAGGAATAGGCTAGTAGATTACTTACCTTTTCCATCCTCTAAGAGATGTTAATTTTATTTTATTTATTTACTTATTTTTAATATTTTTTTAGTTGTAGATGGACACACAATGTCTTTATTTATTTTTATGTGGTGCTGAGGATCGAACCCAGTGCCTCACACATTCCAGGCAAGCCCTTTGCCACTGAGCCACAGTCCCTGCCCAGAAATATTAATTTTAAAAAGCACCCCGGAGAAATAAAAATAGAAGAATAACAAAACACATGTACTCTATTTTTAGCAATGTAAGTGACAGAAAAGTCTCAAAATCCATACTTTAAAAGACTGAACTAAATTACATTGARCAGCAAATGCAAGGAGAATATCAAGTTGTCTCCTAAGTAGTGGATCTCAGAAAGCATAAGCAAAAAATATATTCTGAAAAGAAAGCACTCAGAAATGGAAAATTTATAACCTATAAATCTAATAACTGAGTGAAAGCCTGCTGTAAGCCAGACTTCAACTGATGATTTTTCTTTGGTCTTTTCATGGCAGTAGCCTTGGAATGAGAATGTGCTTCCCATTCAGAGAACACAAATATGGAAAATGGAATATGAAATACATATGGAATCATAGAAGATAGTTTGAAGTATGAATATGACATTTTTTTCATTTATTGAGTAAACCTTTCTTTCCCTACTTATTAAAGTTCTACTGTGTTCTAAATTCTTATAAATGTGAAAACACATATATACACATACATAAGTATACATGACTTTCTGAGATTCTGCTTTGGTTTTTATGATTTTCRAATTCATTAAGGACCAATGTACAAAGCTGAATTTAAAAAATACATTTATTCCCTTATCTCTAAAGACATCAATATATATCAAAATAATGACCATACAAATTATGTTTGAATAATATGGTTATGTTTTGCAAAGGCAATTTTATTTACCTTTAGTAGACAATACTTCTATTATTGTGGGAGACCAACCTCCCATGTGACTAAGTTAATTCCCCTGCTGGGTGATGTGGCATCAGGCACCCATGCTGCTAGAGTGCCCCGCTCTTCTAGGGTTCCATGAGGTGTGTCTTCCTACAGCCCCATAGGTGAAGCTACGCTCACCTGTTCCTTTGTAATATAACCCCTTGCCCTGTTTAGGATAGAATCTTCCATGGAAGTGCCTTGTGTGTGTCCCCTTCTCTTACTGCGCCCTTGGGTGTGATCTACCCAGGTGTCAGTCAGCCTGCTGACAGTGGACATCATGAAGATAGACTCAGCCCCCTGAAACCTGACCCCTTGCCTCATTTGAATAGCTTCTCCTCAATAAAAGGGGTCAGCATGTGCAGTTCTCTCTCTCTCTTCCTGTGGACCCTTAAGGTCTCTTGTGTGATTATTTTGTGCAGCCCAATTAGCCCACTTCAACTGGAGTGACCCCTGAGCCTTTTAGTCTCGAGAACAGAAACCTGGCATATTATCAAGTAAGCTTTTTAAAAGAAGAAATAATATAAGATTAGTAAGAGTACCATTTTTTCAATGAAAAYATTAAATATATTTACCTTCTTGGACATTATCTATATCTCCTGTATAGTGTGACTCAAGACAAACAAACCATAACCAGAGAGTCAAATTATAAAGGTTATACCTCCTTGAAGAGGCCATATGCTTAGAAAAAGAAATTTCTCTGAATTTTATACATTAGTAAAGAAATAAGAAAATGCCATTTCTCTTTTCAATAGGATTTATTTATGTTTAATTAAAAGTAGCAAATGTTATGTAAGTCATTTTCTTAAGAACTTTATTTTGTACAACCACATGGTTATCAAGCAACATTTATGGAATGTTCCCTGGGTCCATGATACAGAACTTTGTAACTATTGTAGCATCCTCTTTTCCAAGTTTAAACATGACTGTGTACACTGAAGAAGCACAGCTATACCTTGCAGAGTGGTCATCTGTGACAACCTGACATCAAGTGAGAAGCCTCTTGAAGAATGTTGTCTTTTGTTGATTTTTTACAGAATGGCACTTGTCTTTTTTGTGTGATTATCAAACCCATATTGATGTTTTTCAATTAATTTTTCCTTTGCTACCATGAAAACAAACCAGTTAAAACTAAGCAGTGTAGCAATATAACGAATCAAACACATATGATGTTATATCTTATATAGGATGTTTTAGGTGGTATGGATGTTTTATATTAGACATCTGTACTTAGCTTATTTTGGACAATAAAAAGAAGCATATCAGCTAAGCAAACTCAAAGATTATATTGGAGATTGATACACTGTTTTGACACATACACACACACACAMAAAAAAATCTTGGGCTCATTTGTTTTTCAGGAGTGTGGTAGAATAGTTTACTGTTAAAAATGCTGTTCTTGTTTTCCCCAGATTCCTTTTTTATGCATTTTTAGATAACAGACTAATATTATTTCTGAAACATTATTACTTGGTTTGACAGGCTACTAGAGTGCAGGCTCACTTTGCCATTTTCCTCTTTGTGAATGTTGATTATTTTTGTTTACTTTTCCAAACATGTGCTTATKCTAAAGATCCAAAACCTATAATGGGGAGTCACTGGTAATTATAAATATACAATGTTTTGTTAGGACAATGACTGATCTGAGGGATTGAAGTTTTGTTGCTAATGTAAGAGCTCTGACTATCCTGCTCAGCTGTACAGAGAAGTATTTGGGAATAGGGAAATGCATATTTCCAAAGAAACCATACTGCATGCTTATTTGACTGGTAGAATTTCTCTGGTTTGATGCATCACTGGTATTCAGGGTGGAATTGACATGCAGCTTCTTCAGCAAGCTTCTTACTCCATCAGGAGAGTCCAGCGATGTTACAGATGACTTATAGCCTGTYACTGCACATATCTCTCTATGCTCACTGCCAGGGAGGTTGCAAATTCTTTAGTCCAATGTTAGTCTTAAAACTGAAGGTGCTTTGCTTCAGATACCTGTCATACCTATAAAAAAGAAAATTTCAAAAAAAGAAAAAGAGGGAAAATTTATGTTACAGGCTTTATAGTACTTTAAGAATTGTGTGAATTATTTATTTTTATATCTATTACAAATTTGTGTTTAAAATACAGATTGTTGGGCTGGGGCTGGGGCTCAGTGGTAGAGAGCTTGCCTAGCACATGTGAGTCACTGGATTCATTCCCTAGCAGCACATAAAAAAACTAAATAACAAAGGTATTGTATTATCTACAACTGAAAATATTTTTAAAAATACAAATTGTTGATAAGAACTATTACTAGTAAAGTGTATTAGCGATTATTTTATTTTGTGAAATAAAATTTCAGCACAGAAAATGGTTAAAGTATTTCATATTAATTTTTATCTGAAGTGACTTTTTTTTAAAGACTTTTTTTTTTTTTTTGGTGGTGTTGGTGCTGAGGATTGAACCCTGGGCCTTGTGCATGCAAGGCAAGCACTCTAACCAACTAAGCCATATCCCCAGCCCTGAAGTGACTTTTAAAAAACTTTTTATTAAGTAAATTTTAAAAGACCCCAAAATAGGTAAATTTCAAAAATTACACCCCATATGCAAAGTAATCAACCATCTTAAAAATATTATTCACAATTCTGTTATTGTTCAATAATGCTTATTTACTGCTTATTAAGTGTCTGGCAGTTTTCCAGACCTGCTTTACCTCATTCAAAACACAGAAGAATCAAATGAGCAAGGTTAGAGGCAGAATTACTATGACACTTAGAAAGCTTAYTTGCCTGGGTACCTTCAAAAAAGAGGCCCTATCAGTATCTTTATGTGTTTATATACAGTCACACTGTCATTTAAGAACTGGACGTGTTCTGAGAAATGCATAGTTAGACATTTTTGTCATACTCAAACAAACCTAGATGGTGGAGCCTATGCACATAGGCTGYATAGTGTAAAAGTGGTATAGCCTATTGCCCAAGGGCCAGGATGAACAAAGCAACACTAGACTACATCTAGCACAAGAGAAATCAATCCAATCAAGGGAGTGAATGAGACTACTGCTGTCATAATATTGCATACTGTTTTATGATAAACTTTTTTTAATAAGTAGAAAGAGTGCCATCTAATTATAAATACTGTGATATAGTAAGTAAAGAAATTGATAACAGTTACTTATCACCAAGCATTATACACTGTGCATAATTATATGTATCTTGTTTTTATATAACCGGCAACCAAATATGTTTGTTTAAACTGATGTCACCACAAAAAYATTGGTGATGTGTTATGATGGCCAAAACATCACTATGAAATTTTCAGCTCCATTATAATCTTAAGGGACCACTGTTGTATATTCAGTCCATCACTAGGCTTCTGGATGCACAGGAATTTGTAGACATTTGCATGATTTTTCAGTACCTCTTGCCTTGCTAATACCAATAGTAGGAAAGTCATTTTCCCAGGGAATATTGACCAGAAACAACATTACCTGACGCRTGACTGTATTTTGTTAAGTTTGCAAAAATAAGATATTTCAACCACAACCAGTTTAGACAGCTGGCTCTTTCCATTTCAACTGTCTCTTAGTGATAATTTGTCCTCTTATTGTAACTATGGGGCAGCAGTAACCATTTCTATGATMTTAATAAAATAAATGACCATTAATAAAGGGTTGACCAGTATGTATTTTATGTGCTTTGCAATTTCATCCACATATAGTAACATTTTTGTTGGTCATCTCACTTTGGTATGTCTTCTAGGAATATTCTGAATATGGCTAATTCAGAGAACATTTAAGAGCAGGCATTCAGAGAAGACCCGAAAAGACCTGACATCTTCTGATTTAGATATGAAAGAGACTCAATAGAGGTTCCCCCATTTTTTTTTAACCCAGGGGCACTTAACCACTGAGCCACATCTCCCCATTTATTTGGAGACAGGGTCTCACTAAGTTACTTAGGGCCTCATTAAGTTGC